CTTAGGTGGCTAGTTAAAAACTCTGGCAATAATCTAGGCTTCAAATCCCAAACCTTCTTTTTACATGGTTTGGACTCATGACAACTCGATTTTTCTTTTTTGAGAGACTTTATTGATTTTGTAAAGGTGATATATACTTCTTATTAAAAAGCAAGGAATACAAAAAAGTACAAAGTAAAATCGAAGCATTCTATACCTAGAAATAACCATTATTTTTCAAAAAAACTTTTTGACACATGTTACATTAATTTCAGGTGTAAAACATACCGATTCAACAACTTTATACATTGTGCTATGCTCACACAATTGTTGCTACCATCTGTCATTATACAATGCTATTATAATATCATTGGCTATATATATTCTCTATGCTGTGCCTTTTATTCCTGTAACTTACTCATCCCATAACTGGAAGCCTGTGTCTCCCACTCTCCTTTACCCATTTTGCCCAACTCCCTCCCCTCTCCCCTCTGGTAACCACCAGTTTGTTTTCTGTATTTAAAGGTCTGATTCTACTTTTTGTTTATTCATTTGTTTTTCAGGTTTCACATATGAGTGAAATCATATGGTATTTGTTTCCCTCAGTCTTATTTCACTTAGCATAATACCCTCTCGGTCCACCCATGTTGTTGCAAATGGTATACTCTCATCCTTTTTTATGACTGCATAATATTCCTGTGTGTGTGTGTGTGTGTGTGTGTGTGTGTGTGTGTGTACACTTAGGTTGCTTCCTTATCTTGGCTATTGTAAATAATGATGAAATAAACACAGCGGTGCATATATCTTTTCAAATTAGTGTTTTGTTTCCTTTGGGTAAATACCCGGTAGTGGAATTACTAGATCGTATGGTATAGAAATAACCATTATTAACATCACTTCACAAAAGCTGTTCGCATATTTACAAATAGGGATAAATTTACAAAAAAGGCTCATATAATATGTACCGTACATACATCATTTATTACTTATATATAACAGAAGAAAATGAAGTTGAAGCAAATTACTAAACTTTACTGTAATGTTCTTTTGTAGGATAGATTAATTCCTACAAATCCCTTTAAAGTTTTGCAAAATGATTATGAATAGCACTAAGAGGTTGTAGGTCCACATAGTTAATTCTTTTTTTTTAAATTTTTTTTAATGTTTTATTTATTTCTAGGAGAGAGAGAGAGACAGCATGAGCAGGGGAGGGTCAGAGAGAGAGGGAGTCACAGACTCTGAAACAGGCTGCAGGCTCTGGGCTGGCTGTCAGCACAGAGCCCGATGCGGGGCTCGAACCCACGAACCGTGAGATCATGACCTGAGCGAAAGTCGGATGCTTAACTGACTAAGCCACCCAGGTGCCCCTCACATAGTTAATTCTTAAAAAATACCGAGGGGCCTGGGTGGCTCAGTCAGTTAAGCATCCCACTCTTGATTTTGGCTCAGATCATGATCTCACAGTTTCATGGGTTCGCGCCCCACATCAGGCTGTGCTCTGACCCTGCAGAGGCTGCTTGAGATTCTCTCTCTCTCTCTCTCTCTCTTTCATTCTGCCCCTCCCCTGCTTGTGCTCTCTCAGTCTCTCTCAAAGAAATAAACTTAAGAAATTATTTAAATAAAAAAATAACTGAGATATAAAAGGAGCTACTTTAACTGCTTAGAAGCAGCTTTTTACTTACCAGAACTGCTTGATGGTCAGAGGTAAAGTATAATATTATTAAATGTGTCTTTGTCAGTTGCAAGGGATCTCAGAGGACCCTGAATTCAATGTCTTATTCCATTTTCTCCTGTGTATGGCAAAGGCATGGTTCAGAGTATAGCTTTGGAGACAGACTGCTGCTTAGGAACCATGTGACCACAGTCTCATCTGCAAAAACTGGGTTCACAGCATCTTCCTCATGTGGTTGTTGATAGGAATAAGACAATACATGGAACGCTCTTATCACAGTGCTTGATAAATAATGTTTAATAAATATAAGCTGTTATTATACAGGAATAATGGTGAGCACCTGAGCCAGTGTCTGACATTGAAAACTGTCATTCACAAAATAATCTCTTTCTAATTCATCTCAGAATAATTCCCCCATTAAGTTTGCCTACTCCTAAAGTTAAAGACTGGGAACCTGAGTGCTTAACCAGTGGGCACATGGGCTCCTGTCTGAGACTGCTGCCTATGTTGATAAGAATGGACAGAACACACAATTCTAGTGTTTTTACAATCCTAAGCATACGTTATGTTCTACCTATCACAGCAATATTACGACTATGCACATCACTTACATGGATGTAGACAAAGAGCTTTATATCTTAAAAATCTTCTTTATTTAATTTTTTAATTTTTTTTGAGAGAGAGCAAGAGAGTGAGAGTGAGCACATGTACACAGAGAAGGGGCAAAGGGAGAGAGAATCCCAAGCAGGCTCCACACTCATTTACTTTCATTATAAACCCATCTTTCAGCCATAGTTGATTTTTTAAAAGTATTCTGTCCCCCTCTGCTCTAAAATTTTGAGAGTAAAAATTCTAGCTGCTGCTTTAAGACTATAGTTTTTTGTTTTTGTTTTTTGTTTCTTGCTTTTTTATGCTCAGGACTTTAGGGATACACATCACAACCAAGTACGCCAATTTTCCATTCTGGATTTGCCTTTCTACGTACTGAGTATTTTGGCTTTTTTTTTTGGTAAATCATTGCACCATAAATTCTAGTTCAAACAGCTCATTTGATCTCTAGCTTGGATGTGAAAGAGGGTGACTTGACGTTTTTAAGTGATGGACTAATTTCTCCATCAATAAAGATAACATAGGGTAAAGAGTAAGTTACATTTGTGTGAGGGTGGAATTTAACACTGACTTGATTTGTGTTGGGTTAATTAGATAATTTTTTGTGCCCTCAAGTACTCCAATAAAAACTAGATCATGTGGACAAACTCTCAGCTCTACTCTATAGAGGATTGGTTAAAAAATAGTCAAAGAGTAAAAAATTACAAACATGTCTAACACAAATCTGAACACAAAATGTAGGAACCGTATGCTGTATTCATCTCTGTCTTCCTTCCACAGCAGCTCACAGTACACAAATGTAGCAAAATCAATAAATGTTGAGTTGATGTCATTACCTCCATTTGCAGCATTCCTTCAATAGCCTTCTAACCTGTGAATAAATAAATTTCTTTATAATGATCTTTAAGAGATGGTCTAAGTTCCTTAGTTGTACAAAAATATCATATCAAATATTTTCTTTATTAGGTAAACTACTGGCTGGAGTTTGGAAATCTTTTTCAACACAAAGCCTTTGTTGTATTTTTTTTTTTTGGTAAGGGTATTTTTTTTTTTTGTAACAGGATTTGACCTGTAACTATTATTGAGAATTTTCTTAGAGGAGTTCAAAGCATTTTACAGGGATCATCTCATTTATCCCTCGAAAGTAAGGCAGAGGCATTACCTCCACTATAAACTGAGAACACTAAAAGGCCAAGATAGGTGGGGTTTTTGTTGTTGTTTTGCTAAGATCAAAAAGTAATTCTAGGGCAAAGCCAGATTCCGGTCTGACCTTGTTACATGATGCTTCTGCAGCACCATAAATGCAATGTAGTAGCTTTCCTAGGTCTCCTTTGGCTATCCTAGGTATTGAATAATTTCCAGAGTTGATTTCTCATTCATTCTGGCTCCCTGAAAACGGGTCTTAAGATGTAAATACAAAATGAAACCCTCAAACAGGATTTGGGGTACAGGGTATACAGGGATATTCATCTTGCTCCCTCCCAAATCTTGCTGCCTAGCCCAGTGCTGTGCTATAGAAAAACAATTGGGGCCACAAATGCAAGTCACATTTTAAATTACCTAGTAGTTATATTAAAATATTTTATTTACCCAATGTATCAAAGATCTCATCAGTTCAGCATGTAAAAGTATTGAGATCATTCACATTCATGTTCTTGTATAGGTCTTCAAATTCTGGTGTGTATTTCACACAATACACCTTAATTTGGGCTGGCCACATTTCAAATGCCCAACAGCCACATGTGACTAGCATGGCCATGTCAGAGACCGTGTCTAGACTTTAGTTGGTTTTTCTTAGCTCTCCCTTCAGATTGGCGCCCTTGTGAATGGAATTCACCTACCAGAAGGGGTGGTGTCAGGGCACCAGGGTGGCTCAGTCGGTTTAGCTTCCGACTTGGGCTCAGGTCATGATCTCAGGTTCCTAAGTTGGAGCCCCATAGGGCTCTGTGCTGACAGCTCAGAGCCTGGAGCCTGCTTTGGATTCTGTATCTCCCTCTTTGCCTCTCTACCGCTCACACTCCATCTCTCAAAAATAAACGTTTAAAAGACATGAAAAAAAAAAAAAGAGTGGGTGGTGTGGGGGAAGGACTTCTGGGTGACGTTGGGAGAATCCGGTTGCACTTCTGTGGTGACTAGTAAAAAGCCCTAGCTTTGCCATTTCCCGATAACCTGGCTGGGGAGTTATGGATTCAGGATCTAAAGGAGAGCAGTCTCCCCAAATGTCTAAAATCCCAGCTCACTATCAGGACCCGGTTCCTACCCCGTAGGAGGAGCGGGGCTAACGAAAGTGCCAAGTTCCAGGGCTGCGGTTTACGGGGCGGTAGCAGGTGGCCGGTGGAAAGGAGGCATCGTTTGAGGAGGAGGAGGGCCCCCAGGGAGGGGAGGCCACCAAGGTGGATGCTTCTTGAGGGCAGAGGCTCCAAACAGGCAGACTCGTGGAAGGCAGAAGCTCTTCTTGGGGCCTTCGCTGGCCGGTGGCGGGGCGCACATGCTAGATGAGTGGATGCATGTGCTTCCACCCAGCGCTCGGGGCGGCCAGGCCGATGGGGGTGGCGGTCTGCTCCCCAGCCCGGCCCGCACCCCGCAGCGGCTCCATGGGCCGCGGGTGTGAGGGGCGGGTCCAGGCCGCGGCCCGCGCCGCCCCCATGTGACCCGGTCCGACATGGTGTCGCCTCCTCCCGGGGCGGCGGCGGCGGCGGCTCCGGCTCGGCTCTGCGTCGGGCCGGGCCCGCGGCCGCTCATGGGCAGCCGGGGCCACCCGGGGCCGCCCCGGAACGGCGGGCCCGGCGAGGGCGAGGGCGGGGAGGCGAGGAAACTGCAGGAAGGGAGGGTCGCGAGAGGGAAGCGAAGGAAGGGGAAGGGGAAGGGAAAAGCGGGAGCGGGGCAAGGCGGAAGAGGAAGCGGGGCGGAAGGGAATCCGGGGCCGCAGAAGGCGAAGGAGGCGGCGGGGCCGGGGGCCGAGGCGGGAGCTAGGGCAGGCCCGGGGGAGGAAGGAGAGGGCTGCGGCCGCGTGGAGGAAGGGGAGAGAAGGCTCGTACGCGGAGATGCGGGGAGCGCAGGGGCGGGGAAGGAGGCCAGAGGAAGAGGCGATGGGAAGAAGGAGGAGTGGAGGGTCAGGCCTGGGCGGCGGGAGGACGCCAGGCCGGGAAGAGCACAGGGACGAGGGGGTCAGGCTTGGGGCTGCATCGCGGGGGCTGGGGCCGCGGGGGAGGCCATGGCGGCGGCGCCCGAGGAGGAGGCGGCGGCCCGGGAGCCGGCAGGCCGCCCCGCTGCGGGGCCCGCGCTCCTGCGCCTGCCGGAGGAGCTGCTGCTGCTCATCTGCTCCTACCTGGACATGCGGGCCCTCGGCCGCCTGGCGCAGGTGTGCCGCTGGCTGCGGCGCTTCACCAGCTGCGACCTGCTCTGGCGCCGGATAGCCCGGGCCTCGCTCAACTCCGGCTTCACGCGGCTCGGCACCGACCTGTAAGCGCCCGCTCGCCCGCCCGCTCCCCGCCCCGGGCCGGGCCGGCGTCCCGGGAAAGGGCGGGGCGCCGCGGCCTGGTCCGCCCGGGGCTGTGTCGCACCCCGAACGCTGCCCCGAGGCCCGGACCCGGCCTGTGCCCAGACCCCTCCCCAAGAGCCCCTCTCCTGTCGGAGGCCCCCATCCGAGGAAGCCTCCCGTGAGCATCCCTCAGTCGGCACCCTCCCTGGGCGGCTTCTCACAGTCAGCCCGTCGTAGCACTGCCTTCAGCTTGTGAGCGTGTCTTCCCGCGCAGAGGGTGACTGCCGCGGCTCCTCAGCCCCCCAGGAGCCAGGCCGGTCTGAGGCTTCGCACGCCTCCTGTGGTCCAGGTGTAGGACCCATGTCCGCCATGTGGTCTGTCAGAACGTTTTTGTGGATATTCATCTGCGCACCCTCTTCTGAAGGTTGTTAGGCTGCAGGGCTCGGACCTGAAAAGGACCCCCCCTCCCCACCCCCCACCCCCGCCCCAGTCTAAGTGTCACCCTTAGTTTATGGCTTGATACAGGCAGAACACAAAAAAGGGTGTCTGCTAATGGCAGGGGACTGGATTAAGTCTACATGGTTTGCAAAGGTTTGGTATTGCATTTTGACCTGTTTTGGGTAGGATCTGAGACCTGTGAATGGAAAGTGAACCACCTGAGCTGTTAAATAGGAAGGGAAGAAAATAGATAGAATTGGGTGAGTAAAAGCTTTCAGATTGCACCTAACTGCATCCAATTTGGGTTTTCAAAATGGTAATTATGAAACAGTATCACAACATTGAAGTTTTTAAAACATAAAGAGCTAGAATACCATCACCTTAGACAACTATTCATGATTTAAAATTACCTTTCAGTTGCATACCTCTCCCCCCCTCCATCCCTCAGTTGCTGCCTTACTGATCCTGATAGAATAGGTGCATAATAAATGTTTGTGGACTCTACCATAATGGAGATTAAAAACATTCCTCTAATATTAAACTTTCATGTTGTGTCCAGCTTTTCGCTATTATAGATAACAATGAAACGAATAAAGCATTTTTAGGTAACAGCTTTCCTGACATATGTTACAAACCATACGTATGTTGCTCAAGATTGGCTTTATTGGATCAAAGGTTATGGTTTGTAAAATTGTACCAAGTTACAGTGGCACCAGCAAAGAAGGATTAAACCGGTTTCATGTGAAATTTTAAAAAATCTGCTATTTTAGTGGGCATATGATGGTATCTCAAAGTTTTGTTGTTTTATGATTTTGTGTTTTTTTTAAACCACTGACCCCAATAAATATTTTCCCATGTATTAGTTTCACCTGTGAGATTGTCTGTACCTAGTCTTTGCCCATTTATTATTGGGGTCTTGATGTTTTTCTCATAAATTTGGAATCCTGTGGATCATAGATCCTAGGCTCTCATCTGTCATCTTTGATGCAAATATTTCCTTCAGTCCTTTTTACTTTTTTTAGCCTATAGAAATTTTACACTAAATATATCAGAATCTTTCAGTCTTTTGTGATTTTTTTTCTTCTTTTACCCTAAAACTGAGAAATTTATAATTTTTCCACAGACTTGATAAATCTTTTTGAAATTCTGCTGGTTTTCTTATAACTTGATTTTTAAAATAGTTAACAGTCAATATCAGTTTTGTTTAGGTGTAAGGGTGAATTCAACTTTTTGTTTTTTCCTAAACAACTACCTATTTGTTTCGTAGTTTCCTAAACAACTACCTAATATACTTTTTGTTAAATAATTCTCTTTTCCTTTGTTTTAGAAACCTATGTTGCCAGTTACTAAGTTTATGTGTGTGTGTGTGTGCATATATACATATTCATACGTATATATGTATGTATGTGCATCTGAACTCCGTTTTGTTCCACAGATATATTTTTCCATTTTCATACTATTATAATATTGTTGCTTTTTGGTAGAGTCTAATATCTGTTACGGTTGTATTATCCTTGTTGGATTTTTTAAAAAAAATGTTTGTTTATTTATTTATTTATTTATTTATTTTGAGAGAGAGAAAGTGGGGGGAGGGGCAGAGAGGGAGAGAGAGAATCCCCAGCAGGCTCCACACTGTCATCGCAGAGCCTGATGAGGGGCTCGAACTCACAAACTGAGATCATGGCCTGACCCAAAGTCAGGAGTTGGACACTTAACTGAAATAGCCACCCAGGTGCCCCTCCTTGTTGGATTTTTTTATGTGTGTCATGTCTCCACTCCCACTTAACTCCCCAACAAAAAAATTCTGTGCCTCTTCAAAAGTTTTTGTGGTTTTCACTGTAAAGTTCCCATATATCTGTTGTTAAATTTTATTCCTGAGTATTCCTAAATGTGTTATGCATTTTTTGTGTGTGTGAATGCAATCTCTTTTCCAGTATGTTTTCCAGCTGGTATTATTAATGATGTACAAGATTACTATAATCTTTTGTAAATTTTGAACCTGATCATTTTGCTTAACTTTTATTCTAGTATGATTTTGTCTGGTTATCTAGTTGTCAGGTTTGTTATCTGCTATGATGATAATGATTCTTTGGAATTTTTTGGCGTACTGTCTTATACCTTCGTTTCTTATAAGAAAAATTCTTTTGGGGCGCCTGGGTGTCTCAGTCAGTTAGGCGTCCGACTTGGGCTCAGGTCATGATCTCATGGTTTGTGAGTTTGGGCCCCAAGTCACGCTCTGTGCTGACAGTCCAGAACCTGGAGCCTGCTTTGGATTCTGTCTCTCTCTCTCTCTCTCTCTCTCTCTCTTCCCCTCCCCCACTTGCACTCTATTTCTCTCCCGCTCTCAAAAATAAATAAACATTAAACAGAATTAAAAAAAAAAAAAAAGAAAAATTCTTTCAAAAAACGTATCAGTTGACCTTTAAGGGAAGTTGGCTAAAATGACTGAAACCCAAGCCAGTTAAGGCAAAGCTTAGCTTTCTTTCCATAGAGAGATTAATGAATGAATGAAAGAATTGATGTTTATTTTTCTTTCCTTTTCAAATGCTCTAAAAGACAGATTATGGGAATGAGTGTTCATTCTGTAACAACTAACAACAAAATGAAAATGAGTTTATAGTATAAGTTGCTTTGAGACTGTCAAGTGATATGGCTTTATTATTTATTAGCCATGTGTGTTTTGATTTCTTGCCTGTGTCCTAGGATGAGCTATCTCCGACATTGTAGGGAAGTTGTTTTACCACAGCACTTGATAAAGGGCAGGGTCAACCGCTCATGTTTTCTGAGCTGAGGGAAGAAGTTATGCGTGTTACAGCAGGTGGAGAGAACGTTTACCAGTGTGGTCTGTTTCTGGACAGCTGCAGGGGCACGATAAGCCACCAAGAGAGGTGGTTGTGACCCCTGGAGGGAGACAGCATTCACCCCAGTCCTCTCAGGGTGTCCCGGAGCCTGGGCCCAAAGTATAGGGCCACTATGGCTGCTTGGATAGCGGTATGACTATAGCCGATGGTTTGGGCTAATTAACTGTAGGCGGGACAGTGGGATGTTTTTATGAGCACAACACAAAACGTCATTTTCTCAGAAGTTACACAAACTCACTGGACCTGAGTTTTATCATCTGTCAAGAACGGGAATAGCCTACCCAGTAAAATGAGGCTTAAACGTGCTCATGTGTAAGCACGAGCACAGTGCTCAGCACACAGTGGGCACTCAAGAAATTGTCATAAACTGGAACTTTTTCCTTGCTTGGCTTCTGCTCTGGGCAGTCTGTATATTAGCAAGAGTGGAGATGGTTTGAATCGGAGGTGCTGCCTGCAGACAGGAGGTGGGGAGGTGGGGGAAGCACGTGCGTGTGCGCACACACACAGTTTGGTTTCTCTCACCTGTCCTGAATGTTTTTGGAAGCATGACAGCACAACCTGTGGGCCCAGGGTCTGCACTCCCTGCTGAAGAGCCTCTTGATGCTCAGAAACACAAACTGCTAAGGTTTACTGACCTTCCTGCCCGGGGCAAAAGTCCCATTCAGTATGGCTGTTCCTAACTTGATCATAGCTTTGTTGAGTAAGATGAACTGCTTTGGTTCCTTGTGATTTGTTAATGGTCTTATACTTGTGCTTGAAGGCATTCTGGCCACTTTAAAACCACAAACAAATAATTTGCTTCCCTTTAGGCCTCTTGCCCGAACAGTGAACATGGGTAGGAATCCTGAGCTTTAAAAAAAAAAAAAAAAGTGAACACAAAGACAATTTGAGTCAGTCATCTGGTTTAGCATCAGTTTCGTTTGAAGGTTTTACGAAGCCTGGGGGAATAGAAAGATCTTTGATATAAAAATAAAGGAGATGTTTCTTATAGCAATCTTTTAAGTTTTCCCTGAAGAGTAGGAGGAAAACTAATTTTGTTCACGAACCAAACAGTGAAATGTAACCCTGTCAGTTTGTAATGAAGGTTAAATGCAAGTAGACCATAGGACAGGTGGACGAGCAGAGGTACTCCCTGCAAGTCCGAATATTGAAAATGTTAACAAGAGCAGAGGACAGAAAGAATCAAGTATACCTGTGTGTATACATCTGTGGGTTTTTTAAAAACAACTTTTGCCAGTCTTATCTTAATTCCTCTCAAATCAAGTCCTATATGTTTTCACTCTTGAATTTCATGTTAAGTATCCTTTGAGCAATGCCTGGGTGCTCTCTTGCATTTGCCTGTGGTAGTTTTGCCTGGAATGAACAGTAGAAGTTTAGGAAGTCAGGCTCTGAGGTGTTTGCCCTGGCATGTATATTCATTCCTCCGCCAGGGTCTTGCAGGCTTGGAGCTCTTTGAGGCTGGGGAACGGGGTATCTATTTCAGCGATGATTAACGTCCAGAGTGGTGAGATGGACACAGATAAGCAGAGTGTGTTTGTTTGTTTTAAAATGATGGCACCTAAGAGCATTTTTGGGGCCCAGCAAGCATAAAGTTTCCTTTCGTAACTCTGACCTGGAGAAGGCATTGCTGCCTGGTTACATTTAAGGTTGAAAGAGTGATTTTCAGAAAACAATTAGCAACT